TGAGAAATCGTGGGAGTTCGCTCATCCAGTTTATATGCTTTGTAGACTTATGAAAACCCTTGACCGGATCCCGCGCAACAGTATGCCTGCGAACATATGGAATCGATGGTTATTTGCGACGGGCCATCCAATCGCCATACACTGATAGCAGAAACCGCGTTGGAGTAAGTGGCTTTTAGTCGATGCCTTTCAGCGCTGGCAGTGATCTCCGCCAGGGCTGCGTCCCGTCCCCTATCCTGTTTGTGTTGTACATGGATAGAACAATTAGACACAGCCAGGGCGATGTGTGCATCAGCATAAATTATCGAGACCGGAAGTTTGCCATTTGCAGACGATCTGGTTCTGTTGGCATCTTCTATAATTGATTTTGAGCGCTGTCTGGAAGGGTTCGCAACCGCCAGCATCGCGTCTGGCACGCGAGTAAATGCATCTAAAACGATTAGTTTGATGCCTTCTCTTTCTCCTGCCCGCTGCTCTTTTCAGATAAACGGAAAAGTAGTGGAACAGATGGAGAACTAAAAGTTTCTCGGGGTTATGGTAACTGATTATGGAAAATGGAAAGAATAGACTGTCCGGCGGAGTGGAGTGACCAGTGGTATTCAGCGTGAACTGTCGTGATCGGTATAGACAAGAGCAGAGGTGGGTCTGAAGACTAAGCTCTCAGTGTTTAAGTTAATCTTCATTCCCATGCCTATATACGATCATCAATCATCGACCATAACTATTCAACTTCGATCCCATGCACAAACGGCGGACGTTCGCTTCTGAGACGAGTCCCTGAATTTATGCCTTTCGACATGGTCAGGAACACAGAAATTCGAGAACGCCTTTGTGTCTAGCCGCTGCTTGTTCAAATTGAGAAGTCACAGCTGCGATGGTTTGGGCGCATGTTGTGAATGCCTCCAGAGAGGAAGACTAAGCAACTACTGATTGTCCAACGGAGCGGTAGAAAGCCCAATGATGATCAAGATTAACATTGTGCATATATCTGGAGGAGTCTGCATTAGACCAGTTTTCTTCTGCCGAAGCTTAGGCTCTGACACGGTATTGGGAACGTTGAAACACTCTCTGATACCTTCGCCTCAGCGATCCTTAAGGAGGAGGAAGATGATTGAGTAAATCGGATATACTGAACGATTCTAACTGTGAAAATTTGACGTCTGTTGCAAGTTAAATTATTTTATTTACCCGAACTATTATCTAATAGCTTCTGAAAAAATTTGTTTTTCAGATCATCACCCTGAGCGGTTTGTATCGGCATAGCGTCTTTGGGTGGTGATTTCCGCTTCATCAGCAGATCTTCAACACTTTTTTTTTATAAAGCACCGATTGCTGTATCACAGAAAGAAGTATTTTTCTTTGAAATCAGGCGTACCGCTACCTTGTTTCTCCATGCTTCATGTCCGTCTTCTAGTGGAAGTCTGCCGTCTTCTGGCTAAAACAAAACAAGGAGGAAATGATTTGTGTTCAGCCCGAATTTCTAATAGGGCCAGCTGCCT